TTGGGGCTTTGTTATAGGGGCCTATTACTAGGGAGTTATATCTTCTTAACAGTCACAAAGTTCTGAACTAAGGGTGGCTTGAGCAAGTTACGAAGTCTACGGAACCAGCACCATTAAGTTACAGTGTAGTCACAAATATCCCAATCTCAGTGGCTTACTGCGGCCCAGTTATGGTCCTTGCTCACGCTGTCCATTGCAGGTCAGTGGTAACCCAGTTCCACAGCTGGGCACTCAGCCTGGAGGAGCTGTCCCTGCTTGGAACATCGCGTCTTATGAGGAGGAAAAGCGAAAATGCAGAGATCTACCCAGTATCTCCTGGGAAGTTTTGTGTTTAGGAGTGTCCCATAAAACTGGCACATTCTTCAGGCATAGCAATTATATACAGTTAAGCAGCTTGTCAATGGAGTAGAGCAAAGGTTTTGAACGGTACAGCTCTGCATGGGGTTTTGTTTCTCTTTAAGGTTTGTTTTAATTCTTTGTGTGGGGCATAGGCATGTGAGTGCCATTATCTGGGGAGACAAGAAACACTGGATCCTCCTGGAACTGGAGTTGCACCCAATGTGGGTGCTCGGAACCAAACTTGAACTTGGATCCTCTGTAAGAACAATATGCACTCCTGGACAGGCTCCAAAGCTACAGAGAAACCCTGTTTCGAAAAACAAAATAAAAACAAACAAACAAAAAAAAACCAAAAAAAAAAAAGAACAATATGGGCTCTTGACCATTGAGCCACGTCTCCAGCACCCTTATGCTTCTCTGTGTCAAACAAGTACAGAGGTTGACCTCTAACGTGAGGGTCCTCTCCTGCTCTGTTGTCCTTTGCCTGTGTCCCCCCTCCCGCCCAAGGGAGGAAACACAGAAAGGTCTCAGTGCTCAACTGAGTCAGCTTCCTCTCCAAGGCCTTCCCAGGAACCCCATTCAGTGGTAGCTTTGTTCCCCATAACTGCAAAAGAAGGTGGGAGTGTGGTCTTAGCTGCACACTTAACCACTCTGAATATATCACTAGCCATGTTAATAAGAAAGAAACAATCTTGAGAGCATGCCGTCCCATCCTCTAAATGCGACCCAACCAGGGTCACAGGTGGCAAAGGTGAACCCTTGTCCAGTTAATGTCGGTTTTTAGAGGGAGGGCCCATGTGAATGCTGCTGTCTGAAGGAAAGCAAGGCCAAGTTGGGGATCACTTTTATTATGCTAATCACTTTCCTTCTTTGTTCTCTGAAGCTTTCGGATTCTGCTGGAGAGTCCTTTACACAGCCCACACTACCAGAAACCCATGTACTGGCCAGAACACGGTCAGGTCACAGGGCTCGCCTGAGACACTCTTTCCCCAGAAAATGCTAATGACCTCAGAGTTGTACTTTTGTTAGGAAGGAGTAGGAAGAGGGTGGATATTGGAGGAGTCAGCTGGCAGGCTGTGTGTGTAGGGAGGGGAAGGGTGCTGCGTCACTAGATCTTGTGTCTGTGTCCAGGAAGAATGGGGCTAGTCAGGACACTTAGCTCCCAGAAGGAGGCTGAAGGACTGCGACATTCAGACTCCCTGGCTGTGTGCCCTGAGTTCTGCTCTCGGAGTGTCAGTGTCTCTGAGTCAGCCCTCTTTTACCTGCCATGTCTCACTCCCATCATCTCTCCACTCCACCTATTTCCCCACTATTAGTCCTTGTAATTTTTCATATTTCCTTCCTATAGTTCCTCCTGGTTGGGTTAGTTCTTTCAGACAGGGTCTCCCTATATAGCCTGTACTGGTCTATAACTTGCTGTGTAACCCAGGCCAGCTTTAACCTTGCAGCCCTCCTGCTTTGGCCTCCCAAGTTCTACAATTACAGTTGCATGTCACCATGTCCCCCTCCCTATGGTTTCTTTGTGTAGACAGACACAAACCTGAATGTACATTCTTATTTCCCTTCGATTACAGTACTACTTTTAAAAATGTGGAGCCGGGCGGTGGTGGCGCACACCTTTAATCCCAGCACTCGGGAGGCAGAGGCAGGCGGATCTCTGTGAGTTCGAGACCAGCCTGGTCTACAAGAGCTAGTTCCAGGACAGGCTCCAAAACCACAGAGAAACCCTGTCTCGAAAAACCAAAAAAAAAAAAAAAAAATGTGTATATGTGTGTCAGCGTGTATACACGCCATGGGTGTGCATGTGCCCACAGAGGGCAAAACTGGCCAGAGAATCTCCTGGAACTGGAGTTACAGGCAGATGTGAGCCACCTGATGCGGGTGCTGGGAACTGAACTCCAGTCCTCTGCAAGAGCAGCAAATGCTCTTAACCACTGAAACATCTCCCCAAATGCTCCTCCAGTCAGCTATGTTTCTTGTTTGTATGTTTTTAGACAGGGTCTCACCATGTAGCCCTGTCTGGACTAGAATATGTTGTGTAGAACAAGCTGAGCACAGACTCATGAAGTCTGCCTGTGTCTGCTTCCTGTGTGCGGAGCTGAAAGGAGTGTGCACCTTTAACACCAGCACGAGTTTTCCGCTTGTGATGTCATTCCTCTTTTGTGTACCATTATTTAGTATTTGAAATTGAAGGAGTTGGAGAGGTGGCTCAGTGGTTAAGAGTGCTGGCTGCTTATTTAAAGGACCCAGGTTCAATTCCCACCACCCACATGGCAGCTCACAACTATCTGTAATTCCAGTTCCAGGGGATCTGACACCCTCACAGATAGACATATGTGCAGGACAAATACCAACCAGTGTACAAAGAATAAAATTAAAAATAAATAAAACCATTAAAAATACTTAGAATCTATCAATTAAAAAACATTGAATTAGTGTGGAAAGCCTTGTAAATGTCTCTGTGCATGGGTGCCCGTGTAAGTGAGCTAGTGCTACGTAGCAAACCAGCTCCACTTTTACTGACTTAGGAGAAACATTTAATGCTAATAATTTCTGGCAGCTGCCAGAAGATGAGCTAGCCAGAACTCAAGTCACGTGGAAAGCAGGAGCTTGATCTCTCAGTCCTGCTGCCTCAGCCTCCAAGTGCTGGGGTCACAGGTTTGTGCCACCGCACTCACTCTAAGACTATTTCAGTATCCATGCTTAGCAACATTGATTTCTGTGTGCGCATGCGCGAGTGTACACATGCACGGTACAGGTGCCAGAGGTCAACATCAGGAGTCCCATTGCTTCCCACCTGATTTATTTATTTATTGATTATTTTATTTATTTATTTATTTATTTATTTATTTATTTATTATGTATACAATATTCTGTCTATGTGCATGTCTGCAGGCCGGAAGAGGGCACCAGACCTCTTTACAGATGGTTGTGAGCCACCATGTGGTTGCCGGGAATTGAACTCAGGACCTTTGGAAGAGCAGGCAATGCTCTTAACCACTGAGCCATCTCTCCAGCCCTATTGATTAATTTTGAGACAAGGTCTCACACTGAGCCTAGAGCTCACCATTTTGGCTCCACTGGCTGGCCAGTGAACTCCACCTCCCAGTACCCGAGTTCTAGCTATGCGCTGCCTTTGCCTGGCTCTTATGTGGGTGCTGGGGATCTGAACTCAGGTCCTCATGTTTGCACACCAAGCACTTTGCCCATGGAGCCAGCTCTCCAGCCCCACAGAATCAATGTCTTGTTGGGTTTTGTTTTTCAAGACAAGGTTTCTCTGTGTAGCCCTGGCTACCCTGAAACTCACTATGTGGACCATGCTGGCTTTGAACTCAAAGATCTACCTGTCTCTGCCTCCAGAGTGCTGGGACTATCGGCGTGTGCCGCCACTACCCAGCTCAGAATTAATTTCTTATGACTATCCAATATAGTTTATGACTGTTTTCTCCACTTGTCTTATTTTTTTACCAGTTGGTTTATTGCATGTGGGGGTCTATATCCTGCATTTGGGTTAATGTTTGATTTATTTGTAATATGTATGTGGTATATATGAGGGGGTCAGAAGATAACTCGCAAGAGTGAGTTCTCTCTATCTACCACGTGGGTCCTGGGAATTGAACTCAGGTCATCAAGCTTGGTAGGAAGCCCCTCTATCCACTGAGCTATCTCTCTGCCCCCCCCTTTTTTATAATTTTTTTAAGATTTATTTACTTAGCCGGGCGGTGGTGGCGCACGCCTTTAATCCCAGCACTCGGGAGGCAGAGGTAGGTGGATCTCTGTGAGTTCGAGACCAGCCTGGTCTACAAGAGCTAATTCCAGGACAGGCTCCAAAACCACAGAGAAACCCTGTCTCGAAAAACAAAAACAAATAAACAAAAAAAAAGATTTATTTACTTATTATGTATATAGCATTCTACCTCGATATATGCCCGCACACCAGAGGAGGGCACCAGATCACAGTACAGATGGTTGTGAGCCACCATGTGGTTGCTGGGAATTGAACCCAGGACCTCTGGAAGAGCAGCCAGTGCTCTTAACCTCTGAGCCATCTCTCCAGCCCTCTGCCCCTTTTTTTATTTATTCATTATTTTAATGTTTTCTGAGACAGCGACTCAAGCTTACTATGTAGCCAAAGATTGTCTTCAAATTGGACTTGAGATTCTCCTGCCTCCACCTCCTGAGTGCTGGGATTACAAGCATGCACCACCACAATGTTTTACATGGTGCTGGGGAAGAGGTAGACAAGTACTCTCCCATGTGAGCTACATTCCCCAGGTTTTTTTTGGGAGGTAGGGCTGTGCAAGGGGTGTGTCTTACAATGTTGCTCAAGCTGGCTTCAAATGCATGGTAACTCTCCAGCCTCGGCTTCCTATTGCTGGGATTGCAGGTATGCTCTACCATGTCCACTTATAGGAGGATGCTTCTTGGATGTGCACATGCATGCACATGTATGCATAAACACACAGTTATACTGGGGGAAAATCCCTGTTACATAAATACGAAAGAAATATTTCTCTTGATCTCTCATATTCTAGATATCCAATGTTATAAGCTCCTCCCTCAAATTCATGCATAGAAGCAAAGTTGGAGGGTGCCAGTGGGTAGCCATGGCAGAACCCAGCTGGAAGAAGGAGGACTCAAGTTGGGATGAGAAGAGCAGTGAAGGAAGGATGGGCGACGCGGGAGCCTCAGAATAGGCTGTGAGCATGAGAAAGTCAGCCTGGGTGGGAGGTATGAACTTGGAGCCCAGGGTCCTTGGGTGTGAATATCCTCGGGTCAGGGTGCATGGGGACCTGTGGCACTCACGTAGTGGCTCTACTGTGTTGCAGGTTCCCACTGAAGGGTGGTCCCAGGCTCCAGTCCTAGCCATGGCACATGGGCCGTGAGCACTGGGTACCCAGCTGCCACCGCTGCTTGTGCTGCTTGCACAGTGAGCGTTTCTCACCCTCGTGCTTCCAGGGGCGATGGGGAGTTGGTCACCTGCGGCCTGATGTCCTGCTCTCCATCTCCCAGGTACCAGCTGACAAGGCAAGGAGGGCCCTGTAGAAGCTGATCCCCAGCATCGCCACCTGCGAAATAGCCACAGAATCTGGACCCCAGGCTTCTTCCCCTCTTTGATTCTGTCCTTTGGTCTTCCCCTCCTGAAGGAGGTCTCTGTAGAAACTGACCCCAGCTCTTAGGTCTAAAGGAATGTCCCTTAGAATATTCTCTGATGCTTTACTCCCTCACCCCCATCTTGTCTTTTAGAGCCAGATAAGAACCAGAAGCACCGAGATGCCTGTGGCACTGCCTCTTCCTCCAGGGCAGGAGGTTTCATCCACTCCTCTGGAGCTCAGCAGCATGGCCTCTGGCCCTGTGCATTTCATGGTACTGGGACCCCACATCAGAGACCATGCTCCTGACCCCTTGTCCCTCCCGCATGCTTCCACAGGGCCAAGACCTTTAGTTCCTGACCGGCCCCCACAAGCTGGGCTGGAAGCTACTCTTGGGGCACTGCAACAGAGAGTTCACAGGTTATAGAGGCGCCAGGAGTGGCACCAGGCACAGCTGCCATCTTTGGAACAGCTGGCATAGCAGCTGCACGGGGAGAGCCTGCTGGCCTGCACACACAATGATCCATTGTGCTGAGTGAGTGCACTGGGACTGGTACCCAGGACGCTTTGCTCCACTTGCAGGGTTTCTGCTCTAAACCAGGGTCTCGTGTTTAAAGAACCTCTCCTGCCTTTGGGGTTGTAAATGTGACCTCGCAGCACAGTGCTTGCCTAGTAAGGACCAGGATCTGCATTCCATTTCCAACACCAGCCTGATAAAACAGGCCTGGAGTGTCAGTGCCGGTCTGTAATCTCAGCAAGTTCAAAGCCAGCCTAGGCTATCTGCAACCCTGTCAGAAGTAAGCAGACATTAAACATCTGTTGACACCAGCCAGTCATCAGTCAAAGCTGTGCGACGGCTGCCCAACTAAGGCATAGTTAGGAAACATGGTTAGGGAGCACATTCTCCATGCCAGACTGGAACCTAGCGAAAACTGCTCTAATTATGCGGCTCTTGTGCTGTTTTCCATATACAAAAGCACGGAATGACTGGACGGTGGTGGTGAATGCCTTTAATCCTGGCACTCAGAAGGCAGAAAGGCAGATCATTGTGAGTTCAAGGACAGCCTGGTCTACAGTGCTAGTTCCAGGACAACTAGGACTGTTACACAGAGAAACCCTGTCTTGAAAAGCCAAAATAAGAATTACAATTATAGGGGGCTGGAGAGATGGCTCAGTGGTTAAGAGCATTGCCTGCTCTTCCAAAGGTCCTGAGTTCAATTCCCAGCAACCACATGGTGGCTCACAACCATCTGTAATGAGGTCTGGCGCCCTCTTCTGGCCTGCAGACATACACGCAGAAAGAATATTGTATACATAATAAATAAATAAATATTTTTAAAAAAAAAAAAAAAAAAAGAATTACAATTATAATAATAAATATATAAATAAAATAAAAGCACAGAGTCTTACCTTGCCCCAAAGCAGGTAGGTATAAAATTGTAGAACTGGGACTGGAGAGATGGCTCAGAGGTTAAGAGCACTGACTGCTCTTCCTGAGTTCAATTCCCAGCAACCACATGGTGGCTCACAACGATTTATAATGAGATCTGTCTCCCTCATCTGGTCTGCAGGCACACATACAGACAGAACACTGTATACATAATAAATAAATAAATCTAAAACAACTGTAGAACCAGGAACAGCCCAGAGCTTGTGTTTGCAGCCCCTCCCCACCTGACCACCATGGGGCTCATGTTTGTGCCCCTTCAAGGTGTCTAAAGCTCTTAGGCAAACTCCAGTATTGAACTACTGAGTTTGGTCTTTCGGGGGGGTGTAAAATAAATCAAATCTTGACCATATCTTTCCTCTGCTTGACCACCCATGGTAGGGGTGGACTCTAACTCAGTGGTAAGTGCTTGTTTAGCATGTGTGAGGTCCTAGTTCCTTTAGTACTCTAGCAGAAGCATGTTCAGCTGGTGGGATGGACGGACCCTCCAGGTGAGACTGTTTGGTCACGACAGTGCTGTAGAACGATTGGTTTGTAATTACTCGGTAGATAAGAGCACTGGGTTCATTTTCCCAGGCGGCAGTGGTCATCTGGAGATGCAGTGTGGCTGTCCCTGATGCTCTGAGACTGGCCTGGGCACCAGTTGTACTGTGGGGCTGGGACAGCTCAGACTGAAGCTTTCCTCAGAGCTTGCTGGGGTCCCTGAGCTGACACTGTCCCTGCCCCTGTTAAGTGTCTGCCTCTTACTAATTCATCTTTTTTTTTCTTTTTAATTTTATTTAAATAACATTTTTTTTCATTTATTTTACAACCGTTGTAGGGAGAGGGCCTGCTTTTTGTCCCAGCCGTCCTGCTAGCTTACACCTGAAATAACCACACAGAAGTTGTATTAATTTAAACACCACCTGGCCCATTATATCTAGCCTCTTCTTGGCTTACTCTTACATCTTGGTTTAACCCATTTCTATTAATCTGTATGTCACCACGAGGTTGTGGCTTACGAGGGAAGATTCAACATGTCTGACCTGGCGGCTCCATGTTGGCTCTCTATCTGCCCTTCTTCCCAGCATCCAGTTCTGTCTACTCCGCCCACCTAATTGCTGCCCTATCAAAAGGCCAAGGCAGTTTATTCAACCAATGAAAGCAACACAAATATAAAAGAACCTCTTGCACCAACCAGCCAGTTGCCCTTCCCTCCTCCCATCACCTCCCCTTTCCCATCTATCCCTCCCCATCTGCTCCTCCTCCATCTCCATTCAGAAAAGGGCAGACCTCCCATCTACTGTAAGCAGATTGGTGACTTCCTGAATTGCCACCAGAGATACTCCATCTTCTTCTTTTTTTATGTGTAGGAGTGCTCTATCTGCATGTATGCCTACATGCTATAATCAGATCTCATTATAGGGGGTTGTGAGCTATCATGTGGGTGCTGGGAATTGAACTCAGGGCCTCTAGAAGAGCAGCCAGTGCCCTCAACCACTGAGCCATCTCTCTTGCCCCGTACTAATTAATTCATCTTATCTCACCTCCACGTTCACTGACTTTCTGTCTCCATCTTGCCGCCTTCCGCCTGTCTCCCCATCTCCCCATGTCACTCCCCATATTACTGTGTCTTTCCGTGTCTTTGTTGCTCCATGTTGGTCCTCCCTGCATTTATCTTCCCGTCCTCTGCATGACTGTCTCTGACCTCACATCCATTGCCTTGTCTCCCTGTTTCTTTCCATTCACATCTTACTGTTTCCCACATCCCTGGCTTTCCTGTTCCTTGCAGCATGCCTGTTTGTCTCCCTGTGTTTCCTGTTTCTACCACTTCTTACTGGGATGACCCAGTTGCCTGGACCTGAGGAGCCTCAAACCTTCACCATCATCTGTGGAAGGCCGGGCATACACGTGCCACCGTGGACGCTAAGCTCAGGCCCCGGACACCCAGATACCCTGTGTGTAAGGGTCAGAATGGCAGGGTTGACAGACAGATAGAAGGTGGAAGAAGAGGCCTCTCACTTGGCATTGGCCTGACCTTGCTGCCTGCACCTGGGGAGGAGCAGTGTCCCCAGTACCTGGGTCTCACTCCCATTCACTTGAACCTTGTATATGACCTTGGACCAAGTTGCTGTGCAGCCCTCCTCCCTTGGGATGCTCATCCTCTGGGGTGTCCAGCCCCTGCCATCCCCAACTCTTACCCTTGGCAATCAGTCAGACAGACTCTGAGCAGAACAAGGATTATTTTTTCAAGGGGTGCTGTGTCTGGTTCTGAAGTGCCCTGGGATGCTGTACCAAGCCTGCTATGGAGTTGGGGGACACAGCTGTGAATACAGCCCCAAACCATCCCTGCCTTTGGGTTCATGTCTGCATGAGTAGACGGTGCATTAGAAAACCAATAAATCAGATCACTTCAATCTGACAAGTTCTCTGAAGACTGAAGAGGGATGATTGACAGTGGCGGTGGCAGGGTTGGGGTGGGGTGGAAAGGGAGCCTGTCTGGAGGGCACTTGGGCCAATATAAGAACAACTCTGCAGAGACCCTACCTTCTGGGTCATCAGATTAAGGAAGGCTGTATTTCTCTAGAGAAAACCTAAGGGGGTGGGTGCAATCTTTATAAGGAGAACAAAGATACCTCTGAGAAGACACCCATGGGTAAAATACTAAGAGGGAAAGGAGGGGACCATACCGGTGTTGGGAGAAGAGTTCCCCAGCAGAAGGAACCGTGGCAATACAGGGGTAGCTGCAGGGAAGTGAGAGAAGGTGAAGGAGGAGAGGTGTCAGGCATGTTCATATAGGGCCATTGTGGGCTATGGTGGACCACACTGGCGTGTGTGCTTGCGTACGTGTGTGTTTGTGTGTGTGTACGTGCTTGTGGGTGGGAGGTGGTGGAGGAAGAACTTGTGATTGGTTCTTGCTACGTTGCCCAGGTTGAACTGAACTGTACGCCTTCCTCTTCAGCCTCCTAAGAGCTGGGGTTGTAGGCCCATACCATACCTGTTAACACTGGCTGTCACGGGGTTGATGTCAGGCAAGCAGATGTGTCTGAGTCAGAGAGGGACCCGATGTGGGACATGTTAATAGGGAGCCAGTTCAGCCAGGCTGGGGACAGAGAGCACAGGGGAAGCTGCTGCTCCAGTCCATGGGGGAGATGACCAAGTATGAACCTGGATGAAGGCTGGCAGAAGCGGAAGAGGGAGAATAAAGTTCTAGAACTATCTTGAAGAGGGAGTTCCCATTCTGTCTTTTAGGAGGAAGAGGGGTGGAAGGCAGTGGCTCGGGGTGATTTGGAGTGCATCAGATAAGGCCAGCCCAGGTGTGAGGCTGAGACGACCCTGGGCTAGAAAAGAAATGACAGACATTTTCAGAGGTGGCATCCAGAGACCGATGGGTACCTCAACACGGCTGCACCTATGATGCTTGGTTCAAGCTTCAGCACCACATCTACTTGCTGTGATCCCTTGAACAAGTGGCTTATTAACGTTTCTGTCCTGGGTGATGAGGATAAGCGTGAGGACGAAGATGATTTAAAAAAGAAAATACCCCTCTGAGACCCTGTACGTGGGGCAAGCTTGAAGGAGTTAAGACTAGGATTCCAGAGAGCGGAAAAACCTAGCACCAGACTCAGACCACGGCTCTAACAGGCCTGGTTTGCTGAGTGGAGGAAAACACCCACACACCTGCCTTTCCACCCATCTCTTTCTAGCCCTCACATCTGCCTCATCCCGCTCCAATTTCTATGCCTGTCGCATCCTTCCAGGAAGCCGTCGTCTCCCCTTCCTCTGGAGGTCCTGAGAGTCTGGCCCCTTCCCGCTGCTACCTCTAGCTTCCACCTCGACGCGCTGTCTCCCTGCATCTCCTCCCGCCTCCCCTCCCCTCCCCGCGTCTAGCCACTGCGCATGCTCCCTCAGTGCCCCTCCTTCTCTATTCCCCCATCCCCCGCCAGTGTCTGGGCCTCGTCCCCTTCTCTCTGTCTCCCTCTCCTCCCCCATCTCGTCCCCCCGACACTGACACCCCGTTACTCCGGCAGTCTCCTCAGTTCCAGCCTTTCTCTCCAACACCCGCCATCCAAGGTAAGATGGGAGGCTGGTGAGAATGGGAGGGGCAA